CCCCCCCCCCCCCCCCCCCCCCGGTTATTTTGCTGCAGCCGGACTGCGGCACAGTAATACAACAGAGAGAATAACTATGAATATGTTAAAGTCCTCATAGGCAAGAGCCTCAATCCTAGTAATAAATCAGGAGGCTGAACTGAATGAAGCAGGACTGCAACTTAATAAAAATGGGGGAAATCTTAAAAGAACCTGTAAAAGGAGTTCTCATGATTAAAAGATAATTTTTAAAAATGTCAAGTAACAATACAGTAAAAATATACAATGAGAACCTATACTGGGTCAGGCAACAGGATTTTTGCAGGCTTATCAACAGTGATCTGGCAACTGCAACCAGAATACTTCTCCTTTAGACTTTCAGAATATTCAGCAAATTATAAATTACCTTTATTAAATCTACCCCAACATAAAGGACTTATGCTTCCTATATATGTACTCTACCTATGGAAGGAATAAAGGTGGGGGGAACTTAAGTAGGTCACTAGAAACATAAACTGCATAGAAGAAAGGATCCAAAAGATACTTTTGAGATCCAAGAGTACTTTATTCCCACGGTTTGTAAATTGGAGTTTATTCATGACTTAAGTTCAGAGTAAATTCCTCCAATTTATTTTTAACCTGCTTATTAAACAAAAACATATCCACACAGAAAGCCCAATTTAGAAGTTCAGTCTCCTCACTTTAAAGCACCCTGTAAGATGCAACTACATGCTGACAATTCATCTTCCACTTCAATGCATGAATCTACTAAGGGATTTTTTTCCCCTTCATTTTTAGAAGTCCACTCACAGCTGCATAAAAAAGGTTAAATTTAAACATCTTGTCCCTTTAAAAGACATACTATGTATAGATGCAAAGCCAGCTGAAACTTGATATTCAGCAATGCTGAACCCTTGTTTATGTGGCTATTAAACTGTACTTTGATCATTTTTTACCTCCATTAGGTAGACCAAAAAAGCAAATGATACTTATATTGCATAGTTTAGAAAATATGTGAAAGCAAAAATTGTCAACATACTGTAGCACTGTAAATAAAAAGCTGAGCATCAACTATTTTTGACATCAAAAAATTAAGTGAAAATATATTAAAAACAAGGCAATTATATTTGCTATAAGAATTAAAAATAAATTCCTAACTCCAAAGGACCAAGAATACACGAAAATATTAGAAGGAAAAAAATAACATTATATTGGGCCTTTCCTTTCCCTCCCCACCCCTAGTTTTAAAGACAAAGATCCTTCTGACCACTCAAATATGGTCACTAGACATGTTTCTGCCACTGTGGCCTCTATTTTTACATGGCTGCATTTTTCCCAGCTCCCTAAAAAGGGTTATTAATAGCTATAACTACTATTAATATCTACCACTAGTCTTCTTAAAAATCATGACTCAAACTTCAACAAAATGCCTAAAAGTTACTCATTCATAAATCTCACTCTCACAGTTACTTAACCCAAAGTAGTTGTTATTTTAAAATAAACTTCTGATACTTAGTTAAATGACAATGGGCTAAATGATGAACACTAAGAATAAAGTTCATTAATCAGTTCAACTTCAGAAGTATATGTGAGGAGGCACATCAGCTGAGCCAGGGAGTGACAGGCATAGCTGTCTGAATGGCAGCCCCACTCCTGACCCATGGCTGAGCAGGGAGGGTAGGCAAAAGAAGAGGACAGAGAAGCCCACTCCTCACTTCCCCTGCACCAATAGAGACCCTGACTTCTCATGATGGTAAATGATTTACACTTCTTTTATACCTCTGACTTGATTTACACTGCACATCTCTGTCATCATGGTATGTTTATTACTCTTGAGTTCAAATGCTTCTAATCTTTTCTTATGCTTTTTTTTTTAACTTTACAAAAATCCCAGAATTAACAACCATATAACCAGCTAAAGCTAAAAATTTTAAACCCAACACCAATCTATGAATGGATATGATCTCATTTCAGGCAACAGGTGATTAATACCTGGTTTTTCTTAATTTCATCTAGCAGATCCTTCAGCAAATGAGAGAAAGAGACTAGACAGATACAATTAAAAATATTTTCTGTTGAGTTCACTTCATAGTTTTTCCATAGAATGATTTAATAACTGCTAGAAACTTGAAATGTAATTACTTTAATTCACTCACAGAAAATTACTCAATAAACACCAACAGGCAAGGCCTTATGGGAGAGACAAAGATAAGATATAACCATGGCTCTCCAGACACTAAAAAGCTAACAGGGGCAGATGAAACATGTACACAAATTAAGGGAACCCAAGGTAGCAGGATGTAACTGTAAAGATAGAAACAGAAACAAAAGGCTAAAGCACCCCATAAAGGGGAAAAGGAAAGCCAGGCATCAGGATCAAAGAGCTGTATCGCCCAATATCCAACCAACCATTAAAATCCATCAATAAATAAATAGGTTAAAAGAGCTCTGGTTTGATACAATGAACGCTTAGGACACCTGGTAAGACTCTGAAACCTGAATTTTAATTCTGGTTCTGCTGAGAATAAACTTCTTAGCTCTGAGACATTAAACATCACTCTTTCCAAATCTAGTTTTCCCCATCCATGAACAGGAAATGGCACCTGCTCTACCTGCTGAACAGCAGTTTTGAAGATGAAATCAGCTCCCAGAATCTAAAGTTCCCTGTAACTTTAAATCTCTTCAGAAGTGGCTAGTTATTCAACTTCTTCCTGAGTACTTCCAGTGAAGAGAATTTCATTATTTCTCAAAATTGATTACTACAGTTTGGACAGCTCTCTAATTCTTAGAAAGTTCTTGATGTGTTGAAACCAAAATCGGCCTCTCTGAAATTTCTATCCTCAGGTAATACATAGAAAAACAAAACAACAAAAAACTGGAAAAGCCAAACAAGGTAACATCCAATGATGTGAATAAATGAAATTTTAGAGAAGGCGACAGAGTAGGTATCTGCAGGTTCCTGAAAGTGGGAAAGGTCTGACCCACAGGCTTCATACTTTAGTCTTTCTTTTAGAGAGGTCTTTTGTTTGGGAGAGACCAGAAAAGATCACCTGGCTTGTCTGAAAGCACCACTGAAACATTTTTTTTTTTTTTTAATAGTACACCATATGAGTAAGGGAGTGGTTGTGCAAAAGCCTGGTGGTTAGCTGGAGCCAGAACGTTTAGAAACCTGAATATCCATTCCACAAACAAGGCTGCACTGAAATTACTATGCAGGGGCAATTCACTGAAGATTGCTGATATGATGGTAGAATTCAATGTTTAGAAAAAGTAGGTGCAGATGGGCTGAATGGAGGCTAGGGGAGATAAAATGGAGGCTAGGGATGGGCAGCTGGACCCCAAACTAGCCCTACTAGGGGAGATAAAAGGTCCAGAACTTGAGAGCTGAACAGGAAATGGAGAGCGCGCCCAAGACTGAAAGAAGAAAATTCTTAATTGTTGCCAAGTGAATGAGAAAGGAGTGATTCTCTTGAAGCGCATTTAAAAGTTAGTTTACATCTATTTAGGTAAGGACAATCAAAACACAGATTCTGGTTTACTAATAAATTTAGTTTTGACACCCCACACTGCTCTATCAATCTATACTACCCCAGAGTGATTATTCCTCCGCGTTCCTGAGGGCCACTCCCGGCAAACCATGCCACGTTGTTAAAAAGTGAGAGTCGGGGTACATAATCCACACACACTGAATTTGGCAAAACCCACAGGCCTGATAAGCAGCTTGAATATGCTGTTTCAATAACGAAATGGCCGATGTGATCATCCTTAGGGAATTAAAAAATTCTCCCAGCTGCCAAAAACTTTCTACTTGGGATCCGCATTTCCAGTTTTTCCAGTATAACACATCTGATCGAGACGCGGATTCTGAGCAGCATCTAGGTCCGCGGAACTGAAGGTACACTCGGCAGGCTCTCCGCTGGCTCTCCCTCTCCCTTCCCCCATAAGGAGCTGGGCGAGGCCTGGCCTCACCCGGGGAAGAACGCAGAGGATCGCCTTCCTCCTGGCGAGCCGGGGCGAGCCGGGGCGGGCTCCCCTCCCCCAGCCGGCGCCGGGGCGGAGGGCGGCGCTCTCGCGGGCCTCGAGCCTGGTACCCAGAGCAGCCGGCTCCGCAGCCGCGTGCGCCCCATCCCCCTCCTGCCCAGCCCGGCCCGGCCCGCTCACCTCGGCCCGGGCCGGCTCGGGCCCCTGCACGCCTGCGGGCTGCGGCTGCAGCTGCTGGGCAGCTGCCGGCGGTTCCTTGTTCCGGTGGCTAAGGTCTTCCTCCGGACCGGCCCGGACCCCGACCGCGGACCACAGCAAAGGAACCAGCAGGAGCAGAAGCAGCCGGGGCGCCGATGCGCGGCCGCTCCCCCGGGCCGCCATCCCGCCCGCCCAGCCGCCCGCGCACGGGCACCGCAGGAGGAAGTGCCGGTGACGGCAAGCTGCGACCCGGAGCCGTCTGGGCGGCGCGTCCGTCACGCCCCGCCGCCGCTCAGTGAGCAGCCCGAACCATGCAGGTGGTGGGAGAGGACGGGGAGAGGTCAGAGGCAGGCCGCGTCCGCAGCCGCACCACCGGCAGCCACTCTCACCCGCGGAGGCCACACGACTCCTCTAACTGCCTTCGTGCGGCCCTGCCCCAACTCCGGGCCCCGCCCCCTATCCCTGACGGGCTCCCATTGGCCCGGCGTCCGCCTCGGCGTCGTGACGTCCTCGGGCAGGTTGAGGTGCGGCTCGCACGCCCCTCCCATTGGACGCGGCACTCAGGCAGGTACCCAGGGCGGGTTGACAGTTCCCTGTGGGCATCTTTCCGGCACCCCATCTGGAACCCGGCTCCCCCCTCTGTGCCTCACTGTCCCAGGACTGTTCAGCTATTACTTATGCTTCCTTTCGCGACTTTGGCCTTAATATCCCGACCCGCCTTTGCCTACTCTCGACCTTTCTTAGATGTTAAATTAGTTCCAGCGCCGCTAGTTACGTGGCACTTTCCTGCAGGATCTGTCACACCCCTCCGGGTTGGGCGTGTCAACCTACTGCACAGAACGTTCTTAAGGATTCAGAATGCTGTTTTTTGAGCTTTGTAATAGGATTCAGAAATAGATTTTAAAAATTTTCAAGCCTTTTTTTTAAGATGTTATTGCCCATAAATAGCCCCAAAGCCAAACTATCTGACTGGTCCTGGAATACCTTTCCGTTTTGGAGGTTTTGTGCTGCACCTTGGACTGGTCCCTTAAAACGTCTGGCTTTTGAAACTGAATCTTGAGCACTTTTGCACGATGGAGGTCGAGGTGGGCAAGGCTAAAACACATGAAAGAATAATTGGTAGGCTCGAGAATTTATTTATATCTTATGATAAGAGGAGTTCAGCTACTTAGTTACCAAAAGTTCAAGAGATCCAGCCCCTGGTTTTAAAAACGAACGAATAGTTTTAACCATGTACCAGGCACTATTATAAGTACTTTGCATATATTTTCATATGTTAAATCTGTACAGGGTAAAGAGGTAAGGAAGTTTATGACTAATGGAACAAGAAATTAATCCTCCAAAAAAGTCTTTGGCAAAGGGTGCAAATTTGCTTTGAATTTTTGATGATAACATTTTGTCATGTGTGTTGGTAAAGCTGTTGTTCATCTTGTTCTTCCTGTTTGTAATTCCCTTCTTCCATTATTTCCTGGTAAAGTCCTACTGCTATTGTCAAAACTTGTTTAAAAAGACTCTACGTCTTCCCCAACAGCTCCCCTTACAGAATTCATTCTTAATTTATGCTTCTGGTATTGGGTAAGTAACAGGATGTCTCCTACACCATTTGGAGTGCAACTCTTGTTTCATCCCTGGAGTGCAAATATTTGAGCCCTCACAATGCAGAACTAACAAAAATGTTGAAAGTCTATATTCCTTCAACCACCTCCCCTTAATGCATGCAAGGTTTGCCTTGCTTAAGAGGGACATGAACCAGTCATGATGACGCACGCCTATAATCCCAGCTACTGAGGAAGCTGAGGCAGGAGGATCACAAGTTCAATATCAGCCTCTGTGATTTAGAGAGACCCTGTTGGGAATGTGAACTGGTTGTGTCACTGATTGCTGGAAAGGGCTTGATTTATTTTCTGGGATTAGTTGCCAGGGCTCCTGGCCAAATTCCAGTCACTTTAGCAGACAGTGAGAACTCATGGGGTACAGAGCAGGATGCTGAGGCACTGGCTTCTGAGCACGAAGTAGCTCAGAGGAAAAGCTGCAAAGGTGTCTAGCAGGAGATGGAGGTAAAGCAGTAATAGAGATAGAGAATTGTCCCAAAGGGGTGGCTCTCAGCAACATGATGGTAGAAAAAGTGTGGATTAGCAAAGCCCCTCACCTCATGGCTGGAAAGGGAAAATAAGAAAAAGGAAGGGGCTGAGGTTCCACTGTCTCCTTTGGGGACCACCCCCAATGACTGGAAGACCTCCAACTAAGCCCGACTCTTAGTTTCTACCACCTTCCAATAGCTCAACAGCACTAAGCTGGGGAACAAGTCTTTAATACATAGACTTCTGGGGAACACTTAAGATCTGAACTCTGGCATACTTCCGTAGTGGGTCTTAAGCCTTCTAGATGGTAAATTTATACCTTTTATCTTTATTGTCCCGGCATATTATCCAACATGTTAATGATAATTAGTATAATTAGAGTAGTAAACTTTTATCAAGTGCTTATTCTGACCCAGGCAGAGCAGGATGTTGCATGAGTTATCTCATAAGGTTGGTACTATTGCCGTTATTTTTACAAATGAGAAATGCAAGATTTGGTGTGGGGTGCCAGTCTGAATGATTTCACATTCTCCTTCCCTGAGCAGAGAGGTTCTGATCGTCACTACATCTCCTAGTAACCTGGAAATTCCCTGGTCCTGGAGGTTGAGGATGCATCTTCAGATGCAGGCGTGTTGCCCCATGGATTGAGCTGTGCTCACCTATTCCTTTGTAATATTACCCCTTTGCCCTGTTTGGGATAGAATGTTCCATAGAAACACTCTGTTCCCTTCTCTTGCTCTGCCTTTGGGTGTGGCCTTCCTAGATGTCAGTCAACCTGCTGACAGCAGACATCATGAAGCTGGACTCAATCTGAAACCTGACCCCTTGCCTCATTTGAATGGCTTTTCCTCAATAAAAGGGTTCAGCACATGCTCTATCTCTTTCTGTGGACCCTTAAGGTCAGAGGAGCTGTCACAGGACCCCAAAGAAAAAGGTATCTCTGTCTCTTGTGTGGTTATTTCATGTAGCCCAGTTCCCCTGGAGTGACCCTGAATGTTTTTTCTCAAGAGGAACATGACAATTTGGGTCAAGGAATTTTTCCAAATTTATCCAACTAGAAAGTGGCAGAATCATGCGTGATTTCTGCTTGTTGAATTTAATGGTGCCCAACGAACTGAAAATCCAATTTGTGAAAATTCAAACATACAGAACAAACCAATTAATTCATGGTAAACATTTCCATCACCTGTTGGAGAATGTCCTTTCTCCATTCCAAGTTTCTAGAAGAACTATTTCCTGGCCTCTCTCAATTCCTTACCATTCCACCTCTGATGACCGAGAGTAATTTGGACAAGATAACTGGGCATATTGGACTTACCTCTGTGCATTATTGTTCTTGGAAGATGCAGTTCACAGGGAAAAACATTATCTACTCTCTCTCTAGTGACTTCCCCAAACTCAAACTCTTTGCAGCAGAGTGGAACAACTTCTGAATCTGAAAGTCAGTATGAGACCAGCTCACCTGGCTATCAGACCTTCCAACCACTCCTTCCAACCTGGCCTCCTGTCTTTTTTGCTCTTTGATTTTATACCCAACTTTTCAGAAATAGCAAAGAAGTGACTCATTCCTAAACTCTGAAAAATCACCCTCAGCACCCCAGAATCATCAAAGGATGAATTAAAGGGTCCCCCCCTTTTAATAGTTCATGAAGTAAAAGCTTATTAGAGAAGATACCAGGCAGGGAGAAATAAAAAGGGAGAAGAGGAAATGTAAACCAGACACTTCACACTGAGTTAGCTGAAGATCATTCAAAATTAAAGCAAAGGCACTTGACCAACTGAAATGTAAATTAATGAGAAATAGCAATTTGCAACTTGATCTTCTTGATTTTTTAAAAGCACACCTAATACATGAAATAGAGCATAACAATACCCATAGGCATGATAAGCCCCTTGAAGTGATGAGGACCTGGACCCTTCTTGGGAAGCTTAGCTGGCCCAGGGCAAGTCCCAAACAACATTGAACATAAACTAAAAAATGTTTACTTCATTAAAGGCAGTCCAGAACTAATTCATGGAATTTCAGAGGTTCCTAACTAGAAAACCAGATTACAAATTACAAAATGAATGTGAAGTAATGCTCCATTTTCGTTTATCCAAATATTTTCTTGTCATCTCTATATGGATGTTTCACAGGCATTTCAAACAAAGCATGGGCAAAATTGGTCTCTTGATTTCCCTTCAAAAACCTGTTTTTCCTTGAGGTTCCTCATCTCAGTAAATGCAACCCTCATCTGTCCTATTGGATTCCTATCATCTCCTCAAACATCACATTCAATCTACTGTCAAGTTTTGTTGTTTTTACCACTAAATTCAACCCTGAATCTGTTCATTCTGTCTCTACTATTGCCACACTTTCCAAATCAGGAGTCATTTCTCACCTGGACTTTTAAATAGCCTTCTAATTGGTCTCCTTCTGTTCTTGCCAATTTATAATCTAACCAGCATCCAAAAAGAGGTTTCAAAATAAAAAAAAAAAAAAAGGAATTTCATTTACCTACTTAAAATTCTCTTATGATTTCTAAATGAGTTCTAAGCCCCTATCTCTGAATGAAAGAAAGTTCTACCTAATCCCTGCCTCTCTGTGTGACCTAATCTCTTGGCTTTCTCCAAGAGATGGCTTTTCTCTTGGTCACCATGCCCAGCCAAACATGTTTCCACCTCAGGAACTTTGTTCTTGATGTTTTTTTTTTTTTTTTTTAAAGATAAAGCTCTCCAGCTCTGAGATAAGCATCCATTATCCTTTGCTGGTTAATTGTTATAATGGAGAACATGACTCCAAATTTGTCAGATATTCCAAATTTTCAAGATAGAAACCAGAGTGCTGAGTTTTTATGCAAAATCTCCTAATTTTTAAAAGTTGGCATGTGTATCAAACTAGGATTCACTAAATATAACATAAAATCCCAATTAGAAATGTTTCCTTCATTAGTTGTGGTTCAGAATTAACCCAGCAGCCCCACAGAGATCAGGGATCTAAGTTCCTGCTAGTTTTGTGCTCTGTCCAGTCTTACGGTGTGGTGCTTATCTTTATGACCCAGTGTGACTGCAAGAGCCCTACCATCTGTGTTCCAGACAGCAGGATGGAAAATTGGCAGGAAAAAAAGGGGACGGGACACAAAGTACCCATTAGGCATGATTTAAGGGAGCTGCCACAGAACCACGGTACTTACATCTTCTTGGCTAAATCTTAGCCACAGGGCCACAGCTAGCCCCAGGTGAAGTTAGGAAATGTAGTTTTTATGTCAGGGATTTTCCTATAGAGAATAAGGGGAGAAAGGCTACTGGGATCAGCAATTAATAGTCTATGTCATAGTAACTGTATCATTCAGAATCCTC